GCATCAATCATAAGCTACATATGTACATTCATCATTTGTAGAACTGTTTCCCTCTTAAAAAGAATTATATGCGTGCACATACACACACACATATATATGGCAGTGATGATTGTGAATAAGGAGCAGGTTATTCCAATTACTCTATCTTTGCAGATAGCAAGAATATTCATATTTTAACCCATATTCATTAACATTTTTAAAGCATTCTTTATTAAAATAGTACTTTAGATATAAAATTGTTATTTTTTTGCTGCATGCTTTTGTGAGCATAATGCTATGGTACAACAATGCAAGACCTTTCTGCCTCTGAAGATCTGAGTCATATCCCTATGAGAAGGACCTGTGACTCAGGCCGACTCTGGGTTTCTTTGGGGAAGCTGATTCTGTCTTGACGGTGAGCAGACAAAACTAAGGTCTTGGCTGTACCAGAAGGTACTTTGAGGAGGGAACTAGAGGTCTGTCCTAGTCTTTTCATGGCTCTGATTTTCCTTCCCATTTGCAGCATGGAGCAGCAGGATGGCTGAATAGAGAGATTATTTGGGCCTTAGTCTCTTTGAAAGTAGCTTATGCTCGAAATAAGATTTCTTTCTTGATGATACATATTCACAACTCTGAATTGCCAGAAGACCTTTCACCCTAGGACTCTGAAATGCCTTTACAGCCTCAGCTTCCTCTAGTGTTACGATGAGAAAACTGTTGCTTTTTTACACATTTCCACATGGGTAAATAAAGCAAGGGAAAATGAAAAGTTATATGAGCCAACAAAACTTTGATTTCCAGTTCAGTGATTAGCATGTGTTAACCTTAGAGTTTGCCAGAAGAGGTTTTCTTAAAACTCCTGAAAAAATGGTTGATACTCAAGATACATGCGTCTTCTCAGTCCTTTAGCATATTGCTTTGTTTGCAGATGGGCCACAATAGAGCCTCTGATGTTTCTTTGCTCTTTCTTAGTAGTGATCATTTTCAGCAATGATTGCTTCCTTGAAGAAAGTAATTTTGGCCAAAAAACTGTCTGCTGTAAATTCTGTTTCTGATACTTAACCTTTGACAGGATTGAAATGTTTTTGGCTTACATTTTCATTATATGCAATAATAGTTGTCTTCCTTGAAGCTGTTAATTACATTAATGCTACTGTGTGACACTGGAAATGGAATATTTCTAAATTCACTCATGATTTGAAAAAAAATGCACGAGTTGAACATAAAAATAAAATGTTTCCCATAGGGAATCCATTGCCTGTACTTGAGTGTCATGCAAGTGAAGCAGGATGTCCTAGGGGCTATTGCATAGACCAAAGTCATGAGAACATTCGGGTGATCTAGAAACATGATTTTTAGTTAAGCACGGAAAAGTGAATTTAATGGACTTTCCAAATCAAGAAGTTAAATGCCAGAATTTTAAGCTGTATGTATGTTTTTATTAAGCTATTCAAAATCATTTATGAAGAATATATATATTTATTTATGAAGAACTATCATTATTTCTTAAATAGGGAAGCAAAGCTGTGAGGGTCTGGAGTGAGTCTAGTTTCTTAGGTGACTTTAACTCTGTGGGCCTTTATAAGATGACTCTTCAGCAGTCATTAAGCAGCACAGGAATTAAGTATAGGTACTTCTACTTTAAGATACTAATGCAACTTTCAGTATAGATGCAATTCACAAATTGCTCTGGACAAATGTGATGCTCCTGGGACTCAGACTTTCATGTTTGGAATTGCGCGTCATCAACAGCATCAAGGATTGAATGAACCATTTTTCTTGAGAGATGTGTAGTGATTTCTTAGTAACAATTGATGATATTTGGCACCCTGTGATTAAAACTCATGTTTATTTTTTATTGCTTGTGTTTTCTTAAGTGTGAGCCTTCTTTTTCCTTCAGCTCCATTTTGCTTGAAGCTTTATCAGGAGATTTTGCAGTCTTCTAACGGGGCTTTGTTATGGACTTTCCTGAAGCCTTTATTACATGGGAAGATACTGTACAATTCCAACATCAACATGATTGACCTGGTGATAGAGAAAGTGAGTGTCATTGTCTACAATGCCTGGTACAATGATATTTTGGTTTGTGACTGACTTTGAGGTATTTATATGATAGAAGGAATGCCAGGTTATTTTAAGTGCAACTTAGAGTTCTCTGCAAATTCTACATTTATCTTGTAAAGACATGGTTCTTATAATGGAATGTTTATAGAAAAATGGTAATTTAAGTCCACATAAAATCTAGAAATAGCATTATTGCTTATAAATGCTACACAAAAACTATTATAACCTTAAATGGGATGTTAACTACTTTTCATGTAAATGGAGTACATTGTGGTATCCTTTCACTTGCTGGAAAATGTAAGCTATTGAAAATAAAAAAAACCCAAACCCTATAAACTAATGTAAAGGGCACATGCTGGATAGAACATACTAGATACTTCATAGCTTTATTTTTTTCTGTAAATCAGAAATAATGTTTCAGTGATTTCATATTTTTCAGTTAGCCCAATTTTGTCAACGAACTATTTCTGAATTGAATGTAATTCACTTTAAAATTTTAGTCAGCTAAAAATGAAGCTCTTTTATAACTTTTCTGTAAAGAAATTCTGTAAAGAATGAGTTGTGATAAATGATAAAAATTCTAAATCCTTCTGAATGCTTAATTGCATTCTATATTATAATGACATTGAGAATAATGCACACTTAAGACATTTCCACATTATTTTGCCAATTAACAAGACAAAACCACTTTCTTAAAAGAATCTATAAGACAGATAAATCTCCTAACAACATACACCGTGTTCCTGTATAGATCTTTTAATGAAATCAAGGCTCAGTAATGGTGTTGAGCATACCATTTTGCTTTAAAAGAAAACTTACTTTTTTATGCTCTGGAACAAAAGGAACATTCTGGTAGATGCTTCTACAACACCGTCTGTTAATGTTCTTCACCCAAAATATTCCATTTGCTTATGTAGGTTTCTGTGTAACTCCTTGCACTACCTACCAAAGCCCCCCACTAATCCTAAGAACTGACAAGAAATTATGGGCGTCTATGTATGTCTATGTGTAAATATGAAGATAATAGAAAAGCTTCTACATAAATTTTCCTTTGTTTTTGTATTTGTTACACCACACAATTTGGATTTGTTATATTGCATGAAGAGAAATAAATTTTAAATCCAAAATACTGATCCAAGTATCCCAAACACAAGTACTAAAACCTACTCTATCACCCTTATATAGCAAGTGTGTGGTCTTTGATCCCTGTTTTCACAGCAGAACTCTTGCCACTGATGAATTGAAACTGTTCTGTGATGTAAAAGATTCTCAGAATTGATTTTATGTACAAGAAATCATGCTAGGATAATTTTATGCTATTTCTTTATAATTGGAACAGTCAGAATGTGTATATAAACACAGCAAAACAATTTAAAAGAAAGATAGTCTGTTGTATTAATTGTTTTAGTTCATGCCTTCTATTCTTTAGAAAAATGATGATGAGTTGAGAAAGTTCTTATTCTAAACATGCATTGCTTGCCTGATTTTGCATAAGCATACTTTTCATCCTGCTGCTAAGCAGGCTCAAAATACGTACTTGTCTGTGAGTGCTTCAGGAAGAAGTTTATATTCAGTCCAGACAGGCACTTGACACTCAAGTCTAATTCTAATCAGACAGTGTGCAGCCTGGATGTTGAAAAAAATGTTTATTTTAATACATTTCTATTTATCAGAAAGAAAAGGAGAACTTGAAGATAATTTTTATTGAACAGCAAAGCCCAGATAATCATTAGAGCGTAAGCTCACCAAAGTCATTTTACCAGGTTAGATTAAGGATTTAACCTATGCCAGATCTGGTCTCTGAATTTGGCTGGCAAAGGGTGCATAGGGAAGGGTTGATGAACATGGTAGCACAGCGACGATTCTCCAAAATACTGTGCCAGCTTCCAACAGCTTGTGGCTCAGAGGCTGGCCATGATTTTACTGGTATAATTTATTCTTTTTTTTTTTTTTTGAGTTTATGGAAGCTCTTTGCATCTATAGCACTGCACATTTCTCATTTGCATGTTCTTTAACTTCTCCAAAAAATGGAGACACATCTTTTCTTTAAAAATCCCACATTGTAATTCCTGACTATATGTATTTTTTCTACAGCTATTCTTTGTTCTAATTCATTATTTATTATAGGGGAATTAAAATTTGCTTAGTAAGGTTTTCAAACTTATTAGTCTCTAGTCCCCTGGTCCCCCTGCATCTTTTCCTGTGAGTAGGGTTGCATTTGTTATCCTTCACTTCCCTGATATCAAGGCAATTTTAATCAAGAGGTTACACTATGGTGAGTACTTCATTTCATTATAGAGTTCTGGGCTGGATATTATCTACTGCTGGAAATTAGTCATTGTTCATTTTGTTAAATTATTTGACCTTTACTGACGCTTTAGTCTGAGACGGATTCTTTGAAGTGTCCTCCATGTAGACAGATTCTGACATGGAAATTTCCCTAAGGCTGCTGTGGTGAGAAGAAAAAAAAAAAAAGAAAAAAAAACAGACAAATTGTAACTAATCCAAAACAACAAAAATATCCCGCATGTTTTTTTTTTATTTTCTCACCTCACGTGGATTCAACTTCATCTTTCTAAAGGATGTTTTCTAATAGCTTCCCAAAAAGTGGTTTGTGTGTAGGTATGTGTATGTGTATGGTCTTTCTTGAGCCTTTTTAGATGGACAATTTGTATTTGTTCACTTTCCAATATGCTGCCTTTAATCTCTTTACCTGCTGCAAACCCTTGACACCTTAAGCTGCTTTTAGCTTCTTCCTAATAAGTTTCTGTACTGTATGAAGTTCATCTTCTTCAACAATCCATAGTGCTGTTGTAGATTTCTTTGACTTTTGTGTAATATGCAAGCATACTATATTTAATGTGACTCTTTAGTCACTAATGTGACTAAAGGAAAAAAGTCCTTTGTGCGGCTCAAAATCAAGTCAAGAGGCACAGAGATCTGAGTTCTGAGCACCCTGACGAGCTCCTCTATCTAACTTTTTAATCATGTCTGAAAACTTAATTTTATCATGTTCCAGTGTGACCTACACTTGTTCTGCACTGGGAAAACTGAAATCTCCCATTTCTACTGTTTGCTACACTTGGAACCTTTCTCATCTCCCTCAACTTGTCACCATCCTACCTCGTCAGTGAGTTAAATAATTCTAGTGTTCCGGCCTGGCCTTTCTGTATTACCTGTGAAACAGAGAACTTGTTTAGCTGACTTGGCACAAAACATCAGTGTACTTTTTCTTACTCCTTTGGAAGGTGAACTAAGGACTGTCATTTATGCTGAATAAATACATTTCTTCAGGAAAATGAAACTGGCTCCAAGATTTCTTTAGAACTTACTGTCCTATGGCTAGGATGAAAGGACAGCTGCAGCTCTTCTCCTGTAGTGCATGATGCTTCAGTGTACCACTAGCATATGCTAGGGGAAAAAAACCCATCTACTTTCAGTGGGAATTATCGCAAAAAGTGTGGTCCCAGTTACAACGTCGTATCGTTTCCAAGCAAAGACTTTTTGCACCATTTCTACTGTAATAATGGCACTAGCTAGTAATGGAGAGATCTAGTTCTTAAATACATTTACATGACTGATAATACTAATTTAAACGAAAAGATACTACACTGTTTTTTAGACTTGAGATCACTTGTGACTTGCCAAATCAGCCTGGAATAAAGTTGGTAGTTATTTACCAGTGATTGAGAGAGAAGCTATAGCTTATATTTGACTGTACAGAGGATGTTTTGCTATAGTCAAGTCATTCTCTGCAAGAATGTTTGTATATGCAACAAGTAACAGATGACCCAAAGTGTTTACAGAGGTTTTATTTTAAATATGCTCTAAATTGTCTTTCTAAAGTATCTTTATACTGTCTGTGTCAGAGACAGAAAGTAAATAGATCTTGCAGTTTTTATAGATGTACAGTTTTTATTTCACTTGTCTCCATATTTTCTTTTTTTTTGCCCTTCTCCCAGGCCAATTTCACCTTTGCTTTTGTGGAAAGTTTGAGGACTTATTCTCAGACGTGGCTTAGGATGTCCGAGGTTTTTAAAAACAGTGGAAAAGACCTTGTGGTCTCTCGGCTGCAGGTTTGTGAATATGATCTGTGCAAAATTCCCATATGTATAAAGTTTTCTACCTGTCTGGAAATAGGTTAGAAAAGGAGCGAAAGAGAGATTTGTTTTAGATCATGTGCCTACAGTGATAGACCTTCAGAGCTGAAAATACTTAAAAACAATCTTACATCATTGTATCCAGTACTACAAAGCAATAAGGGAAATAAGTAGCGGAACCTGCAAACCTTATGCTATTTAAGTTTGTAGGAAATAAGTATATTACAAAAAAACAAAAAACCACTTTTTCCAGCAGTGTATACAGCTGATACAAAATAGCTGTGGAAAATAGTGTTTGTTTTAAAGTAAAAAGTAATTGTTACTCACCATTTTTTATATCTATCTATATATTTTGTTATGTTTTATTTCTAAAAGCATGCATAGCTGCTACACTGCGGGGAAAATAAGCAAATCAGCTGTAGAACTGTCACAGAATCACAGACTGGTTGAGGTTGGAAGGGACCTCTAGAGATCATCTAGCCCAACCCCCCTGCTCAAGCAAGGACACCTACAGCATGTCACAGAGGTCACATCCAGGCAAGTTTTGAAGATCTCCAGAGAAGGAGGCTCCACAACCTCTTTAGGTAGCCTGTTCCCATGCTGTCACCCTCACAGTAAAGAAGTTCTTCCTTGTATGGAGATGGAACTTCCTGTGTTTCAGTTTGTACCCATTACCCCTTATTGTATTGTTGGCCACCACCAAGAAGAATTTGGCCCCATCTTCTTTACATTTTCCCCTCAGGTATTTATACATGTTGATTAGATCCCTTCTCTATCTTCTCTAGACAGAAACAGGCCTTAAATGTCACACTTTCAGACCCCAGGATGCTCTGGTAGACCTAACGCTTTTTCTTCCCCGCTTTACAAGTTAGCAAATGTGATCAAGTGGGAACAATACAAACAAACAAATAAAGCTAGATTCCAGTTTTTGAAGCTGTTGATTTTACTACTGCCAGGGCTAATAGAGCAATGGCCCAGAATTCTGGAAGAAAAAAAATGTTTTTTGGTCCCAGCAGACTTGCAAGAACCTTAGAACTGACTCTCAGTTAAAATATTTGGAGCAAAGGCAGATAGTAGGGAGGTACATAAATTGTATTTTAGACATGTGGAGTTAACCTCATTAGTGGATGAAGACTGAAGCTGTGGAGACTGTGCCTTTTCCAGTGTCATGGGAGTAGTCCTTGTAGGGGAACCGAATGTGAATCAATAGATATATTCTATATTATTTTAGCAAGGATTAACATATATAACATCTTCTGACACTTTTTATTTTAGGAAGCACTGCACAACAAGTTCATAAAACACTTTGTAGAAAGTCACTTAAATATTGACATGGGAAAGCTTATTGAAGATATGCAAACATATGGTATGTATGTGAAAGTATATGCACCAATTACCTTATTAGACAGTCTATTTTATCTTAAACTTAGGGCTGTTTATTTGAAATTGAATGTTGTTCCCACCTTTGTATTCTCTTGTTGAATTAGTGTCATTTTTTTTTTTTCCCTGAGGGCCTGGGTCATTTCCATTTTAAAATACTAAAGACCTGAGCTATTGAATTACAAATTTGATAAGAAATTAGAAGTGGCAAACTGTCATGGAGGAGCTGTTAATATAGGAGATGTATTTAAAAGGAATGAAGGGAGAAGTGATGTTGGTAGCTATAGTTTTATTAGGTAGTAGTAAATTTTGGTAGTAAATTTTTGAAGAATCTATGTTTTAAATGGAAATAAAACACACTGCATTTTTTAAAATTTTCTTTTAATCTAGGCTGCAAAAGCTGTCTATTTTTCTCTTTTTGCCAGTGATTAGTTATGGACAATTGTCCCAGAACTTTCTGAAACCCCTGGGAGTTTGCTTGGGGCCCAACAAATCCATAGGAGAATGGTTTATATGAGGAGATGAGGGGGTGGTTATGAGTGATTTGGGGTATGCAGGGACTAAACAAAACAAACAGAAAAAGAGGTAAAGACCTGTGCTAGAAAGTTAAGCCACTTAAGCCACTTTAAAAGATTTGATAATGAAAAGGTTCCTTTATCATTAAGTAGAATGTTAATTAAACTTGGTACTGATGGTGTTGGAAAGAACCGTCACCACAAAGGCATATTATAAGTCTTTTAAGAATTTATGAATTTCGAGTTTGGAGAAAGGAGTAAGAGGAATAAGGAATAAGAGATCTGTGTAATATGTTATCAGGGAGTATTAGAATAGTTAGGAGCCTATCACAAATTGTTTCAGTGACATGATAAAGACAGGCTGTGATGAGCTCTCACATGCCTCCATGGCTGTGCTAGGAAAAAATGACTTTTGCAGCATATGTAGATTATGCTAAGACTTTTTTTTTTATCTGTAAAGGAGCGATAATAAAATTTACATACTTGAAGATAAAATTTATGTTGAATTTTGGTACCTGTCTCTAAGTAGAAGATGCACCAAATCCATGGAAACTCCTGAGTGCTTGTAAATGCTGGTTTATTTATTTATTACTCTTTGTCTTAAATTCTGCTATAGCCCTGAGCTGCCAGCATCATGGTTGGCATGACCTGAAGTTCTTGTTTTTCTATTTGCACCTATAGGATAGGAGATGCTGAAAATGATGGCCTTGATTTGGAAGCCATGGCTGAAGGCTTTCACTATGTGCACACACTTTCACTAAGAAACATGGAACATGGTGTGCAAAATATAATCCAGGAGTAAGAGTTCTCAACTCAGTGCCATTAGCCTGACAGATTCTAACTTATGTCAACCATTTTTTAGGGAGATTTGCTTAACCATTGCACTGTAAGGTAGTCTGGGCCAGGCACAGTTCACCTCAGTGTTAAAGTTGGACCACAAGAGAGTTAAAATCATACAACTGGAAAGATAACAATAAGAGAAAGTGCATGTCTTTTAATCTATATTATCTCCTGGAAACATGTCTGTCTCCATATATTACTTGGGTAATAGATGGATTTTTTTCTTTATTGTATGGGTTTAACATAGGGAAATGTGTGGTGGATTACAAGCAAGTAATATTTCATTAAGTAGGTAACATGAATTGTCAGGTTCATCTTCACTGTTGGAGGCAGAGTTGTCGCAGAAATCTGTGTGCATGTTTGTCAAGCTCTGGCTTTTGAAATAAATTAAAGGCCACTCACTAGCCAGTGTGAAATAAATGGTTAATATAGCTGGATGGTGAATACAGGAAATCATTTAAGTAGTATAGCTTATTTAAATTTCTTAATTTTATTGTTTTACAATTAATAAAATTAACTTCATATAAAACCCTCAAATCAGTATAAACTGTGGGTCATAACAGCATGCATGCCTCTGAAACTGATCTCCGTCCATCTCATTGAAATCAGGTACCAGGCTTTATTGTGTGTTAAAGACACTGTTCTACACTAATATTTGATTGCACTTTTTACATATTAATCATATCACTTTGTTCTTTGAAAAATAACTGTGCTTTCTTATTTTTATGCTGTTTTTGTTCATGTAAGTGCTTTTAGATCATTTTATTAGTCTATAGTCATGTACAGCTGTTTATGCAAACCTCCGTTCTTTTTAAAATATTTTGTTACTTTTCAACTGTATCAGTGTTCTCGTTTCGTAATTATCTTGCTTGAGTCCAGTTAAGGTCTTAAATGTATCCACATATATTGTTATTTTTTCCACTCACAATCTTTTATTTTCATCCAAGTTTTGTAAAATCACCTAATCTGTGTGATTATGTAGTTCTCTTGTCACTAAGGTAAATATTCCCTTAGTTTATTATATCTTCACTTGTATTAAGCTGGTTTCTAATTATGCTGAAATCCTAGGTGTTTGTATTTTTTATTATTATTTTATTTTATTTAAGCACAATGCTATAAACATGGTTAATAGTTTTAGTGATGTTTTATTTGCTCTGCTGCTCTTATTGGAAAGTATCGGGGGCACAATGTTACGTGGAACTGTTCCATCTGTTCTATAAAATGCTTATATGGTATCATTATAGAATGATCAGTCAAATTTATTTATTTTATTGTTGCATTTCTAAAACTGTATTTTACAGAGTTAGTGTCTGTTATGCTCAGGGTTTTTTGTTGTTTTTTTGTAGGGAGGATGTTTATTTTTAAAAAACTGATCTCTCTTTAAACTAGCCTCCAACTAAACTCCATTTCTCTAGCCTTGCTTTCCAACTGAGCAACTCTCAATACCTTCCTGCATTTAACCAATTTTACATAATCCCTGTCCTGATGGGACTTACAGGCTCCTGAGGAACCTCTCAGGAAGCAAGGCGAGAGACAGGTATGCCCTTTGCCTATATGAACTGTATGTGGGCTTATAATCTAAGGCAAGGCAATTTATTCTTCTACCTAGTAGTTTCATGAGAAACAGTTATATTCCTTCCCAATTATTTAATTTATAGGGTAAGCAAGCCAAGTGGGAGGTAAAGGCTGAGTTTGTTTTTAACAAAATACAAAGATATGAATAAAAGCAGCTCTCGGAAGTTTGTTTGTGCTTGCTACATTTATAAATGAGAAAAATACAAGATGGGTAATCCTAGAAATCTATATTATAAAGTTGTAAATACTTCTATATATTCTAAAAGTTCACCATGGCTATAAGTCTTCATATTATCAAGATGACTTTATGTAATATAGATGAAAATTTAACTCTTACGATTAATGTTAAAAATATTTGATTCTTGCTGCAGTACAAGTGCAAGGGTATATATTTCCTTCATGTTACTGAAAGACAGCAGTTAATAGACATATGCTGTATCCATATTCGGAGCTATTTTCTCTCAATGCATGGTTTAACTTATCATTACTTGCTTTTCCAGACTATCAGTTCCTTTACTGCCTCTCCTCATGATCTTTCTTTATCTTTGCCTGTATGTCCAAGTGAGTTTTGAAAAGCTGAAGAAGGAAACCTGTGTTAGATATTCTGTAGCTTGTTTATTTCTTGAAAAAATGTGGATTTTTAATGACATACAGATGAATTTAGGATCTAGCTCATGTTATCCTAATTATTTTCTCAAACTTAAGGGCATCTCTGAGAGTGGATGGAGATTTGAAGTCCTCCAAAAGCTCAGTATGTTTGGACCCCAAGCCTTGGATCAGTGTGTACCTTCACACTGAATCCATAAATAAGATCCAGGTGGAGATGGAGAGTTTCTCATTTTATTGCTTTTTAAATGTAAGGCTTCAATCTACATGCTTATGCCCTATGTGACAATCTGCCTGAAACTTTAGCAATGCCAAAGAGGTAAGAACTGGCCAATGTATTTCTAGAAGAAAAAGGCAGATGTCTGTTCTGGGATGTCCCAAATGGAATAATTTTCTCACATATGAGAGAGTAGCTATGTCAGGCTGGGGAAATGTTATGCATGCTATAGCTTTTTGGACTTGGTCTTTTTTTTCACTAATACTCCAATGTGTTTGAAAACTGCTCCCCAAATGTTTTTTTTGCAAAGGATGTTTTATTCCTAAGGGATGTGCAGGAGAGAACATACTTTTCTATTCTGTTTAATTCGTTAAACCTAAGGCAGTTCGATTTGTTTCCTCCTCTTAGAGACTATGATGGACAAGATGCTCAACAGCTCTGCAACTAAACAGATTGACTTGTTGTCACAGCTCTTAGTAAATATCTCTTCCTGTGTGTTGCTGGATCGTTTCCAGCCTTTTGAATCTGTTGATAAATTGGAGGAGAAGGCTCGTGAGCTCATGCAACAAAATAATTTTTTGGCTAGTAAGTATCTTAATTAAAATGTGTATTAACAGAAAATAGACTTTGTAGAAATGTTATCAGTGTTTCTTGTGAAGCTTGGTTAAGTTTACTTCAAAATCTATGTTGAAACACACATAATATAGGTAAAATAGTGCCCATTTACTTCAGGTGTTTCCTAACATCCGAGTGCAGTGAAATATTCACAAACAACAATATATTGTAGTTTTAATTGTGGAGTTCCAACATAAATGCTTGGATTTGTTATTTCTAACAAATTATGATGGAATAGAAAGAACTGAAAAAATATACACTACTGAGGAAAAAAGACTCTTTATTATAGCAAAACCTATTCACATCTTCTCCTTTTGCATTTTAATTTTCATATTCTTTGGCTTATGAAATGGAGGAAATAGAAATTTTTTTTCAAAGTTTTGTTCTTAAACAAACACCTTAGAGAAATTAACTTGTTTGTTCAGAATAAATTGAATTTTAACCAACTGATGTTATTTCTTTTATTCTCTGGGATTACACACTTTAATCTTTTCCTGCGTAACACTCTTATTTCTGAGAATCAATTAATTGCACTGAAAAGAGTTTAAAAGACAAAAATGTTTTTATTACATACATTAAATCCTTGGATGAAATTGTTTTAAAATTGCATATTGCCTTTCCCAAAGAAATCAAACAATACTGTTATTTAAATCAGCATAACATGCGCCGTAATATTTTTCTCCTAAATGTTTTGGTTTTCACAAAAGAATCCCTTTCACAAAAGAAACCTTATCAAATTGGTTTGAAAGAATGATACATTAAAACTGTACTATATATAAGAATATAGTACAATATGTAAGAATATAAAAATAGTGCTTAGTTGGTCCAGTCTCCTGTGCCTTTTTTGTCACCCATGCAGTCCATACCCTTGCAGAGGGTGGGAATAGCCACCCTGCATCATTATAAAGCCAACAACTCATACATGCCATAGTAGAAGGAGACCTACTGAGGAGTATCTTTGTTGGGATGAAATTGCCTTACGCTTAATGGGAAGAGACTGATGGACAGATCCTGGCCCTCAAGCAAATGAGGTGTCATGCTGGGGATGTATTTTGCGTCCACTTCATATACCAATACACAGCTTGCTTTCAAGACTTTGAAAAGGTCCTAACATGTTCAGTCTGTCAGTATTGCCTTTTCAGATGTACTCTTATATTCCTTTCCATAAAAAGGCGTGAAACTGTAGCTCACTTGTTTTCTTTGTTTGCAACCTTCATAGCCTCGTGGAACTTCTTAGAAAATTGTTTGTACAATATGGGGAAATTTATTTGATTAGTTGAAAATTAAACTATGCAGCAAAGACTAAAGTATTCAGTGGTTTTTGACTTTTTGAGAGCTGAGTGATTAGGTGATAGATCTTCCTCCTTTTCTAAGGAAAAAACAGCTTTTCATATCATCAAGAAATCCTAAAATGCCTTGGTCATCCAGTAGGAAGATACAGTCAATCTACTATATTTGACTTAATCTTTGCAGCTGAAATGAAATGTGGATATGTAGAAATGTGGATAAATCTTTTAAAGAGCTAGAGAAAATATTAATTAAAAAGAAATTTGTTAAGCCAAGAGTTATTTAATTAACACTGAAATTAATAATTGGTGTCAGTTATACTGAGTTAGTCCTTTTTCAGTCACTTCCAGGGATGGTTATGCTTTCTGGTTGCTAGTTTGACTGTGGAATTGAGATCAATCCCCCAAAATGGATTAAATCTAGAGAGAAAGAGAATAAACTGCAGTTCTGAAAGGCAATCACAGAAGGGTTTTTCTCAGATAAAAAAGGTCATTTCAAACCCATTTATCATGTGACTAAATATGAATGTAAAATGGGTTGCCTCTGTATGAAACCTACCATTTTTGGGTGTCAGCCAAGAAAGCACTGTACTTCAAAAATGCCTGTTCTAAGAGAGGAGTGGATCCTCTATCCTACTGTAATTTGATAGTTGGCCACGAGTTAGCTATGTATAAAAAAAAAAGGCAAAAAAAAACTCAAAAAACAAACTTGAGAATTAAGTGTTTTTCCTTGTTGTGTCAGGTATCATCTTCAACATGCCAGACAACAAAACACAAGATTCTAGAAGTCTTCCGCAACGCATTTCATATACAATTAGGACCAGTGTTCTCTATAGCATGAGAACAGATTTGGTAAAAAACCCCATGTGGAAATCTCATCCCCAGAACTTGCCAGCTGATGGGTTTAAATACAACCATATCTTTGTTCCTCTGCAAGACATGATCGAAAGGGCAATTATTTTGGTACACACTGGGACAGATACCTCAGAGCCAGCAATTCAGGTGCAAGCCATGCCTTATCCTTGTCATACCAGTGATTTGTAAGTACATTTTCTATATTATTAGGTTAGCACTGAGTGGAAAGTCTCCGGGTTTTTGTAATGGGTGAATGTATATGCTTGCATAGTATTTGAACCAGTGTTCCTGGTTCCTGAATGTCACACTGTAAGCAAAGTTGTTGAGCTCTGTCCACAACACTCTATGTAACCTGTACCCAGTTAAAAGCTGTTTCAAGCTATACTGCAGAGTAGCCTGTTGGGTAGAGGCAGCATCAACATCTGTGAAGGTAGCTTAGAGTATGATAAAAAAGTCACTTTCTATCCTTAGCTATCAAACTGAAAGTTGGTTCCTGGTGATGAAATATAGTGCAAAAGTTATATGAGCAAAAGAAAAAGTATGGGGTGATTCTCTGCAAAATCATCAAAACACTCAGTATTATTATATAAGTTGATTGGTGAGAAGCCTGCTCTAATGAAGCAAAAGTTGACTGGCTTATGATCCTTCTTGCACTCCAGATGTGTTCATTTGCAACTGACACAAATCTGAATTTTCACATCCAATGAATTGGAAGCTCATCACCCCAGAGAGGGTTTAATGAGTTTTACTGTTGACAAATGCTAACATAAAATTATAGTACTATTACATGGACTTAGCTAGTGGAATGAAAAATAAATACACAAGTTGCCTTACGTGAGTAAGGATAAGTTTTAGTGCTCATCTCAAATTTTGAGAATAGTCCTGCTACAAATATTCTGCTTAAAAATGTTTTCCCTTTGAGGCTGCTAACTATGCATTTTTTTATAGATTCTTGAACAATATAGGGTTTTTTTTCCCACTGATGATGATGTTAACATGGATGGTCTCTGTTGCTGGCATGGTTCGCAAGTTGGTTTATGAAAGAGAAATTCACCTTGAAGAGGTAAGAGAAAACTAAGCCTCTGAAATCAAAATCACTTTGATAGAGTATACTGAAATACACAGATTAAACAGAGGTACTTTTGAGTACTCACAATTCAGCTATTTTTATTTACAGTTATTTCTTCTGGGTAATAAGTTCAATTTCCAGCTGCCAACTCAGATTCACACAATTGTTGCTTTGAGTTTAACCATCAGTCCCCTCAGTAAGACATATATTTCCTGTGATAAAGAAAAAAGGAAAAGATTCATAAAATTTGCTTCTGGAATTTGTTGTTGGAATGAGTTCTGGTGGTTTGAGAGTCTGTATTTCATAGATACTGATTGCATATAACTACTGCTGTGTCCATTCATAGGTAAGAATACCGTACAGAATTGTAATGAGAATGATTTATTTTGCATATTTTACGATATATTTTCTGAATGGCTAAATATAACTTTTCTTTGAATAATTATGCTGTCCTTTATGCTACTAGAATCTTTTTTTCTGAATCTGGGAAATTATCTGATTTCTCTAAACTTTGTCTTGTAGAACAAGCATTTTTTTCAATGTTTTAAAATAATTAAAAATTATTTAATTCAACATTGTATAAAAAGTATGTTTTGATCACATTACAAAGAATTCTTCAGAAGTCATATTACCTTATTTTCAAATACTGTTTTTTTTTAAATAGTGATAATCCCTCATACCCACCTAAATTATTATTTCCATGATAATGCATAGAGGTTTACACACATATTCAAGTTTTCCTATCCAGAAAGAAAAAAAGAGAGAGAAGTGGTTGCAAATTTGAGTGATTATAAATTTGTCTCTCTGAAAAAGATGTGGTGAGTAGATTGTCATTTTAAAAAATACTACTTTCAGTTCAAGAGCAGACTGAGAAGAACACTTGTTTATATAGTGTAGTTATACTCAGTATTTTTCAGAGTGTATAAAGGCAGTCTCATGACTAGAGGACCCAGTAATCTTGCATACAAAATGTGTTATGCATTGTTATTTGGGGAAATAGTAGTGTCTTGGTGGTGATGTGTTTTGCTTAAAAAGAGAGAGAAAGAAAAAGAAGGCCTCTTAACTTTGTGTCTTTGTTCTGTTGCCTTGCAGTATATGAAGACAATGGGTGTACATCCAGCTGTTCATTTCTTGGCTTGGTTTCTGGAGAATGTCATTGTGCTTGCAATAAGCAGCTGTGCTTTGGTTGTCATCTTGAAAGCAAGTGGCATCTTTGCTTACAGCAACAGCTTCCTCATTTTCCTTTTCCTCCTGGATTTTGGAGTGGCAGTTGTTATGTTCAGCTATCTGTTGGGAGCATTTTTTCACAGTGCCAATACAGCAGCACTGTGCGCCAGCCTTGTGTATATGATCAGCTTTTTACCCTACATAGTTTTATTGATCCTGCAAAACCAATTGAGTTTAGTCAGCCAGATTGTTACAGTGAGTATTTCTTTTCCATTTTTAAATCTCTTCCTTCTCCAAGCATACTGTACATTTCCATAGTTTTGAAAATGCAGAATATGATTTTTCTCCGAGGTTTCTCTTCAGGTTTTGCAGAATATATGGCAAGATGTTTTGAATTAGACTGGTATTCTAGAGGTATTCTTTAGCTGTGTAACAGCTGATCTGGGCAATACACGTTATCCTGAATAATCTATCCAAAGCCTCTAATATTTTGGTCTAGAGCAAATTGTACAGTCCAGCATCATGATTGGGTTTGCTCTTGCTGTCTTTCTTCTATGCCCCAGTTCAATGACATGTTTATCAAATACATTAGGCTCACCTTCTCCTGAAAAGGAGATCTGAAATTCAGAGTCTAAATCTACATCTAATGTTTAGAAACTACAGGTTGCAGCTGCCACAACTGCAGGGAAAGCTGGGGATGACTAATGACTAGGGCAATTACCTGGTTGTGGTTACAACCTGTGTTTGCACATATGCCTTAGGTTACTTCATGTCAATCAACAGTGGATGGAGTGTGCACTTGTGACTACTGCAAATCCTAATGTAGAAATTTACTGTTAGGTAGAAACAGAAGTGTAATCTATGTTTAAATATTTCCTAGTTTTAATGTTGCAAGACTTGCATAGAGATACAGCCTTTCTGCTGTTAATTTCATTTTAGACCGCTTTGATTTTTGTAGGAACTTGGTTTTTCATTGAGTGCAACAGGGATTAGATCAGGAATTTATCTAGTGGTTAACTGTTTTATGCAGTCTGAAGCTTCTTGTTACTTTATCAATTATTTCACATCCTTTCCTGTTTTATGTATGCTATAAGTTGTTTTATATCTGTCTTAATATAGCATATTCCTGCCTGGGACATCCAGGTATCCCAATTATGAAATATGGAAGCCTGTACTGCACATGTAATGGCTTCACTCTTTCAGAAGAAAACATATGTAACATCAACTTAAGCTAACTGAACAATTCATACTGCATAAAATAATGAAAAGGTGGCCTGCTTTATGTCTTGTTACAGTGCTATGCATTGTTTGTTTTCAATATGTGGTAGATTTGTGTTGGTCTATAACTTGTGCTAAAGCTAAATAATGCTTTCCAATATTAGCAACTAAGACAGTGGAGCTCCTTACAGTGGAGTGAATATTACTGCTGTGTGTGGAGGAATTATTGTTAATATCTGAAAGAAAGAAATGACTGCTAGCCTGTATGAAACAGTGTACTATTATTTTCTGTTTGTTCTTTTAATATTGCAAGTTATTTTGCTGTGTGGAACTTGTCAATGACGTGTTTTATTGGATGCTCATATCCTGTTTATCCTCTGGTGTTGTAGTGTCTTCTGTCTACGACTGCCTTTGGGCAAGGCATATTTTTCATTACATTCTTTGAGGGCCAAGAAGTAGGTAAGATCTCCAGTTAGAGAAATGTTTTGCAATTATGCTTTCAAGTAACTAGATTTAGGAATATTTTTCATTTACTTTGCTCTGAAAGAAACTCAAATCAGCTGTGAGCAGAACGGATCATTAAGGGAGGAACATTGAAACCAGTCAAGCTTGTGTCACTTAGTTTCAAGCAGTAAATGAAAGTGAGCTTAGACTTGCTCTGTCTTATGACTGGCAATACAGTTTGGAAGAAAGTCTCCACAGCTCCTGAGAAATGGTGGAGTAAGCATGCTTGGCCAATGAAAGAGTTAAAGATGCAGAACCAAATTTTAAGTTCAGTGAAATCCAGTAGAGCTATGTAAGGTTCAGCATCTGGAGAGGCTAAAACAATCTTTGTGAAAGCTGGTTTTCTCAAGAATTGTAGAAAAAGACTTGTGGAAAAATTATCACAAGCTACTGCAGTGCAAATTTGAATTTTGCCCCTTTTTAGAAAAAAATGCAATGCTTATATCAATTGTTGATTTAACTGATTTTATTTTACTTTTCAGAAATGCCGTAGCTCTCTGTAGTGCCAGTGTTTGTTTTTTAATTTCATGTCCTGCAAAGGAGTGCTTTTTTCAAATGATTATTCAGACAATTAATGTTTGTAGCTCTAGTTAATGTCTAAACAAAAGCAATGCACACAAATGCCTACTCCTTAGTTATGTTTTTTTTAGATTTAACATTATATGGATTATTCAAAACTTTGTATAACCAGCTTATTTGAATATCAACAGTATGTCAAAAGTGTCTGTTATTAAACAGTTCAATGGAGCATTTTGAGAGTCGTAATTTTTTATGTTGCCAAATTAAGGACCAGCTGAAACTTCATACACAGCCCTTTTTGTAACAAGTTCTCTGTGTTTTTCTCAACAGCAGTGTCACCTGCTGCTCTAAACAGAGGCTTGGAAAGGATTGGCAATTCATTTTTTTCAGTTAAGATTACTGTTATTAACTTTGGCCTATTTATTTATTTATTTATTTTTCTGTCAATGCTTAAATGCCCTTGACGTGTATGTTGTTGATGTGTTTGTGGTATTTAATGCTGTACTGATTTAGCTTTGACCTTTTAAAAATCATTATTACTACTACTACTAGGAATTCAGTGGAATAATATGTACCGGCCCATAGCACAAGGAGAATACATGACCTTTGGATGGATGTGCTGGATGATGTTCTTTGACTCCATTTTATATGCTATAGGTGGCTGGTATTTCAGCAATATTTTTCCTGGTGAGAACTTAGCATTCTTTTAATTCAGTCTGTTATGTTTTGGAAGCATCCACAGATGTAGCCATTGAATGAAATAAAGTTGGCTTTCCTTATTCTATGGAATTAAAATAAAATATTTCATCTGAGTTGAAGCTTTGACATGTTAAACTGCCTTATTGACTTTAAAGACTTTGTTGAAAAAAAGTCTTTCTTTGTAAACAGAAATCAAAGAGCTAACAAATGGACTAGAATTTGTAGCAAAACGTGAAGTTCCCTTTCTTTTGTAAGGATAGCAAATATCTGAAAGAATAATTTGGGATTTTGTTGAGACTCCACAATAACACAGCTCAGTCTTAATAACAAAATGCCTTGTGAAAGTGCAGGAATCTTCCAAGTCATTACTTAATAACAAATCCATGAACAGCAGTATATTTTCATGTAGCTAAAAAAAAATTTGAGTTGCCTGATTACTTTATCTCATTCCCCATCATTCCAGAGTGCAGTTCATGATAAAAAATAATTTTTTCAAGCACATTTTTAGAAAGTTGTGGGATATTTTTTAATATTCAAATTTTATGGGTAACAATGAGTTGGACTCTTGGTGTCATATCTTAGGATTTGAAATTTACCTTTCCTCCAATTTGCATGTCATCTTTTCTTCCATCTGTTCTGTATTTATTTTAAAAAATGTAAAAATGAAAAAATAATGTTTCAGCTAAGTGACTTCTTTTTTATTCTTTATTAAAATTTGTTCAATGCAACTCAGAATTTGAGCCAATTAAGTGATCTAGCCAGTTCTGTGCAAGTAATGAGTCATATTCTACATGAATTTTGTAACTGTTTCTATTATGCCTAACATCTAGGAAAATTTGGAATAAGGAACCAATGGTACTTTCCTTTTACTGCTTCCTACTGGAAAAACCTGTGTGGAAAGAAACATGATCTGAATTCTAACATGTTTTTCTTCAACGAAAACTTCCAAGAAAAAGGTTTGTAGTAGTTATAATAAATATTATTTTTTAAATGGTTTGCTAATTTTGATCAATATTCTGTTATCACTGCTTGCACCTAAATTATATCTTTTAGGTCTTATCCTTTTCTCTAGGATGTGATATGTACTATGTATGTTATACTGTTAACTAAGCTGTCACCTCTAATGCTTCCGTTAAAACTCTTGTATAGAAATAGTGAAGAAAACTTTTTTAAAAAAAGAATTGTAGTTTTATCTGGGCTTTTGGCTTAAGCACCATGTGGTTGAGTCCATCTTTGTGGATCTGGTTAGTCTAAGTTCTCTGTTTAAACTGGTAAGTATGACATATTTGGAAGGAAATGCTCGTTTGTAAACTCTAACCATGATGTGTGTGCGAAGTTTCATGCTCTTTCATAACAATTGAGCTTTATTGCACCAGTAGTGCCATAGATTCACTATGATAAATGCAGTTATGGGCAATCAGCTCAGCTCTGGACTTTGTTTTTTGCAGAGTTCCGGGCTGTGCCTAGAAATTTAGGAAGCAGCAGAAAGGACAAAAACAGTGGTTTGTAGTTTTGCCTGATCGAAATATGAAGATGCATGGATTCACCAAGGGGGAATCTTGCTTGACTAATCTGATAGCCTTCTATGATGGAATGACCGGCTGGATAGATGAGGGGAGAGCGGTGGATGTCATCTATCTCGACTTCACCAAGGCTTTTGACACCGTCCCTCACAACACTCTCCTGGGCAAGCTCCGGAAGTGTGGGATAGATGAGTGCACAGTGAGGTGGATTAGGAACTGGGTGGATGGCAGAGCTCAGAGGGTGGTGATCAGCGGTGCAGAGTCTAGCTGGAGGCCTGTAGCTAGCGGTGTCCCCCAGGGGTCAGTCCTTGGTCCAGTCCTGTTCAATTTATTCATCAATGACCTGGATGAAGGGATGGAGTGCTCCCTCAGCAAATGTGCTGATTAAATGAAACTGGGAGAAGTAGCTGATACCCCAGAGGGCTGCGCTGCCATCCAGAGGGACCTGGACAGACTGGACAACTAGGCCGTGAAAAACTTCATGCAATTCAACAAGGCCAAGTGCAAGGTTCTGCACCTGGGGAGGAATAACCCCAGATACCAGTACAGGCTGGGGACTGACCTTCTGGAGAGCAGCTGCGCCGAGAAAGACCTGGGTGTCATGGTGGATGACAAGTTGACCATGAGGCAGCAGTGTGCCCTCATGGCCAAGAAGGCCAATGAGATCCTGGGGTGCGTTAAGAAGAGCATCTCCAGCAGGTCAAGGGGGGTGATCCTGCCCCTCTACTCAGCCCTGGTGAGGCCGCATCTGGAGTATTGTGTCCAGTTCTGGGCTCCACAGTACAAGAGGGATGTGGAGCTGCTGGAGAGAGTCCAGCACAGGGCCACAAGGATGATCAGGGGCCTGGAACATCTGCCCTATGAGGAGAGACTGAGGGAGCTGGGCCTGTTCAGCCTGGAGAAGAGAAGGCTGAGAGGGGAATCTAATCAGTGTCTAGAAGTACCTCAAGGGAGGCAGTGAGGAGGATGGTGCTGGCCTCTTTTCACTGGTGGCCACCGACATGTGCTCTAGGTGACTCTGTGTGTGCAGGGGGGTTTGGACTAGATGACCTCTAGAGGTCCCTTCCAACCTTAAGCATTCTATGATTCTATGAAGAAGCTCAATGGAAGAGAGCTTCATGGACAGAAGGACCTCTCAGAAATGTCACAGTGCTTTGTAATCCTTGCTGGAACATAAACTCAAGTTTGTGGTAACAGCTTTTTCTAAACTTAAAAATGACTTCATAGTCTACCCAAACCACTCTTTTTAAATGATAATCTCAGTTTCTAGATGGTGCATGCATAGTTCTCTCTTAGAATTCTTATCCACAGTAATCTCAGTTTATTTGAAATAGTATTCCCGTTTTGCTTTAAAAGAGTCTCACTGCCAGAGTCCTCAGTTGTAATGAGTCAACAATGTTACGTGTCTGATGCTGGTTTGCGCCTGTGCTTAGGAAGTAGACCTACACCATAGTTATGCTGGCCTTTCCTTGGGTCATCTCAGTTTACTGAGTTGGTTGCCTCAGTTGTTAGCAGAAAAATATTGGGTGTCTACTTTTATGGAAGGCATTGGATTATGTTTGAACTAGACTTCTGCTTTCACAAAGACGTCTACTTAGATTTATTGATTGAAGGAACTAAGACTGGATCTACCAGGTGCCTCAAAGTGGGTGACATCTGTTGAGTTCTACATGGTTTGAATTTTCTTGTGTTTATGAAGTTAATATTCTAACCAAAGTGATTATTAGCATTTTTTTTTCTCTGATAGAAATGAAAACATAACATCTATTTTATGACGTCCTGTCATCTCCATGTGACCTATGGAGATGCCCATGTACACAGACACTCTTAGCCATATTATTTTAGGAAGCTTTGAAAATCTGTGCTGGGAATTTTTAATTTAAATATTTAAACTAATCTAAACTAATTTAAACTTAGTATTAACTGGCACAAAATCTGTAATTTCCTTGGAGCTTATGGTATTATGAGCATCTGTTCCACTTTTTGATGGATGGTACCAAGGGATAGGTTAATATATATATATATATTTGGAGTTCTGAGGCCTTGGTCTGCTGCTGTTCCCCATACAGACCCAAGACCTCCAGGTGAGAAAGGTGCTAGCGCAGAAGGAGCCACCATTGGTGTCATATTGCTGTCACTCACCAAGAAGCATGTGGATGGCCAGCAGGCTGCTGTGAAAGATCTCAGCCTCACCTTCTATCGAGGCCAAATAACAGCTCTCTTGGGGCCTAATGGAGCTGGGAAGACAACAGTTATGTATGTTTGTTGTTTAATGGTACTGCAGTTGCCTTGATATTTCCTAGCTTTTCTTCACTTTAAAATATTTGTAATCTCTTTCATCTATCCTTAAAAAAAATTAACTATATACAGCTATGACAAAAACAGTGTATAGAATACTGTGCATAGTACTGTTGTACCTCTGTACCACTGATAACAGTGATACAGTAGCTCACAGAAGCAACTCAAATAGCAGCTGGGGACATCTGACTGGGGGAATGAATGCGTCCTCAAAATGTTCTTCTCTGGTATCCCGTGTGTGCTCCTATCGTGTAGAGACTATGGAATCTTTAAGGGTTTGCATGCTTTATTCCTAGATGTTGAGAGAGTCTTCTTAACAGCTGATTAGAAAGTGAAGTATCAAAATGAAAATGATTTTTTTAATGTCTTAATTAAGAGGTCAATGCCTTTCTACTTTATATTTATCTTGATCAACTTTAATCAAATCAGTGATGCAGAATGTGGATTCCACTAGGAGTTGTTATTCATCTAAAATATACAGTTTCATAAAGAAACAATGGATATTGAATTCGTCTAGGAAAGTGGCTTTTGTTCTGGAAATAACAAGATGAAGCAGTGGTTAAAGGAAGCAGGGGTGGGAGAAGACCCAGATACTCTTGTTTTCCTATAATTATGCTCGTTTAAACTGTTCTTGCCCCAGTGATGCTAGGAAAAATGTACCAATACAGATCAGTTGAGAACATGCCTGAGATTCACGTCAGCTATATAATATGGCCTAAGAGGTTGCTGAAAAAAGAAATTCTTTTCCTATATTAGTTCACTGTTGACTGGCCTGTATCCGCCCAGCTCGGGTACCATCATCATCAATGGAAAGGACATACGGACTGATCTGGCTGCCATCAGGACAGAGCTGGGCGTTTGTCCCCAGTATGATGTTCTATTTGACACGCTAACAGTGAGAGAGCATCTACTGCTGTACGGATCAGTGAAGGCTCCCATCTGGACAGCAGAACAGTTGGATCAGGAAGTCAGTGGGTAAGTGTTTTTCTTCCATTTCTTGAAACCTGTCCAGTAAACCAGTAGAATGTCTATTGGAGGACACTCTAACAAGAAACTGAAGAAGCTAAACTTGCAAGTAGAAGTGAATGTAAACTGCTGTATTTTCATGATTTTTGATGACACTTTGTGTTCTAAAATTCTACCCTGAATTAGATATTCTAGTTTCATCCTTTATCCGAATAGAATTATGGTGGAACTGTCAATATTTTAAAACCTGGTACCATCAAATAATCATGTTTTGATGGGAGAGACTGGCCTGTAGTGCTTCCTCTCTTTTGTTCTCCCTGCTGCTTGTTTGGGTACCTGCCATTACTGCGGAGGCAGTTCAGAAGGTAAATTGATGCGCTTTTCACCCTGAAGTTTCAGATAAGCCAACACTGTTATTACTTTTTTTTCTTTATTCTCTCATATTACCTCATCTGCAGTAGAGAGAAAAGGGAGAAGAGGTAAAACGGCTGATGGTAGTGATTTTTGCAATGATTTTATAATAGGCCATCGTCTCTTTCCTTTCTTCTCAAATTCTAACTTTAAGTGTTTTTAATAAGTGAAGGGGTTTAAAAGCCAAAAATCCAAGAAGAAAAACAAGACAAAGTTCTAATGGAACCTGAGATGACTTGCTGCTTGTCAGCCAAAGACTTTGCTAGTGTTTTTGCACTGTGATTTCTTTGCTGTAAAAGATGATAATATTTGTGCCAGAGTGGCTTTTGTTATTCTGGAGTATCAAAAAAAGCCTCATCTTAAAATTGTGATCTGAAAAGTTGCTTGTGTGGTACACTGCAAAACTCTCCAGAAACAGAAAGATGCCTAGAACAACAAGGAAATACCAAATTTGGTGTGTTTTGTAAAAATTTATGGAAAATAATAGTCAGCCATTTATCGTATTTAAACAAGTCAATTGTAATTACTACAGCAGTGTGTCCTAGAAATGCCACATAAGCATACTCAGTGCTCTGAAAGCTTTGCCACTAAGAAGAATTTTTGTTTTGTTTATGGAAAATAATACCTTAAAACTACGTCATAGAAATTAGTAAAATTAAACAAAATCTGTGATTTTTTAAAGCAAAAAAAAAGCTTCTAAAGAGATTAAGAATCATTTTCCTGGTTGTACATGTAAAATAATTGTAGAGCTTAGTTTTCTTAAATGAAAAATTTCCTCAGGGTAAATGGCACAGTCTACAGATTGCATATTCAGTCAAATGAATCAGAAGATTATTTTACGTTATGGAGTCTTTTGCCTCTTTCTTGCCAGGTTGATATTGACAGTTTTGGTCAATGAACAGGTAGTCAATGTGATGCAAAATAAATTGGTGATTGTACAGCACAGTCTTTCTTGAAGATGAGTACACATCTTGCTTTAAAGTGAGATCCTCCAAGGGGAAAGGCTGAATGGGCATTGCGTGCAAACTCTCTGCTAACAGGAATACACAGGCACTTCGACTATCACTGCTGGAAATTTGCTCTTGTGCTTAAATACTGTTGCTTTTGTTGGCTGCAACGCTCCAGACTCTCAAATATAACATTTTTACAAGTATTAATGCAGGTAGTGTTATCTCGCCTAGGGATCATTCATCTGTAAACATTGCAGGAATATAATTTTAAATTAATTAAAAAATATAGAACAAATATATAGTTTTATATGTTATATATTTATATACATGTCATCATTTATTTCAAATGATGACACACTTCAAAAAAATGTGAGGATATTTAAATTTGTGCAGTTCTAAGAACTGAAGTACTGTTTTGAGTTCTCAAACTGACCTTCCTCTCTGCATTTAAAGAAGTGGTAATCCATCCAATATTTGCTGAAATTAGTGCTCAATCTGGTGTTTGTTTTATTGGACATAACTTCAAAATTATTCTGTGATCTTACCCTTCACAGTAGTTGTCCAAAACTTAGAGTTCACATGGCAATGGGTATTTTCTAGTTTGTAAGTGAAATTAGTGATTTTTTTTCCTCCCAAATGGTAAGTTTCTTTGACTATTCCTGCTTCAGAGCTCTGGAAGATGTGCATTTATCCCAGCATCAGAACAAACCTGTTGGTGTCCTTTCTGGGGGAATGAAAAGGAGGCTGTCGATTGCCATCTCCTTTATTGGGAATTCCAGGACAGTTGTTCTTGATGAGCCCACTGCTGGAGTAGATCCGTGCTCTCGACGTAGCATCTGGGATGTTCTTCTGAAGTACAAAGCTGGTACAAATATATATATATATACATATATATATATACACATATGTATGTATGGAATTTTGTTCCAATAGATTTGAACAGGAGGGTCAATATATTAGCATTGCCATTCAGTAATTAAGTACATTAATTTCAGAGGTAGCATTTAATCAACTCAAGAAATTTGTAAGCAGTCCAAGTGAAATTACAAGATCTGCCTGCTATCTCAGAGAAAGATGCCAGGGCTGACTGAAGGTTCAATTTAGTTGTGAGTCATATCCCAAAGCTTCTCTTTTCTTACATATTTTGTTTGTTCTCTAAATTATTTTCTTGTTTTCATTTCCAGTTTTGCATGTATTTATATGCAGTTGCATGTATTTTTCTAATGAAGATAGACTGATCAATTAAGCTACTACATTAAAGTGCCATGAGCTTAAAAATGGGAAGCCAACTAACTTAGTGCATCCTCAATCAACTTGTAATAAACTATAGTAAATGGTCCACTGAAATGGACACTGCTGTTGCTTGATTTTCAGCAATCTCCTTAAGCTCATAAAACAGCTTGAAATTGTAATGGCTTAATACTGTCTACTTGGTATAATTCAAGCCTAAACTTGCTTTGACTTGTATCTGACTTGGGGAGTACCTAGTGGGTGTGAATATGAGTACAGGTTTTCCCTGTGTTTTGCAGTTATGTTTTGAAGGAACCAAAAATGTTCTGTCAGGTTTTCCTTGAAAGAAGGATAGGCTTCTTTGGAGACCAACTCATATAGACGTGTCCTGTCCTGATCTTTCTGATACAGGTTGCACACTGATCTTTACTACTCACCATCTTGATGAGGCAGAGGTGCTCAGCGATCACATTGCCATCCTGCAGCATGGCCAGCTGAAGTGCTCAGGTTCTCCTACACATCTGAGAGAAACATATGGCCAGGGACACAGTTTAACACTCATAAAAAAGGTATAAAAGAGTGCTATGTACAGAATGTAGTGCCTCTTATTCATTCCTGGGGAGTAGTCTGTGTCCCAGGTTAGATGCAGTTTCATGAGTGATTTTTTTCCGGTATCTGTCAAGTCTTATGCTTCTGCTACTATTTATGCTTTTCTTGTGTACTTATTTTTCCTCTCATGCAGCCTTCTGTGTTTGAAATCCAAGACCCTAAGCATATTGTTCACGTCACCTCTTTGGTGCAGACCCACATCCCAGAAGCCTTTCTGAAAGACAGCAGCGGGACTGAACTGACCTATGTGATCCCGGAAAGGGTAGATAAGACCTCCTTTAAGGGTCTTTTTCAGGCTTTAGATGAAAATCTTCATCATCTACATGTGACTGGCTATGGCATTTCTGACACCACCTTGGAAGAGGTACTTTAATTTTCTGTGTAATGGTGTTTGGTTGCTTAGAAAATTCTGTATTACTTTCCAGCTAATCTTGCTTATAGCTTTTGTATTTCACAACCATTTCTTATGGGAATAAGGATTTAAAACAATCTCATCCAAAATGTACACATTTTTGCTCTAATATTCGTTTCTAGAGCCACTCTACTACAATATTTTATTTCCAAGAATCTGGAATTTGTGAACCAGAAATCATTGCATTTTAAGAACTCTTAAATGCTTTTTTCTGCATTCACCTAAGGATAATTTAATGTATCATTTACCTAACCAGAACTACTACTATTGTCCTAAATCTATAACATCAAAATGAGCTTTGAACTCGTAAGGAATTTATAATAGTAGAGGTTCAGTTCAGATGGCTCTTGGGAGGGGAAAAAAATAATCATTTCATTTGAATACATTTTGGAAAGACCTAAAGCTTAGGACATTGCAAAAAAGGGCTGAAGACATCTAAATAATATTTCTTGTGCATAGGGGTATGTATGTGTGTATTTATATATATATACACACACATATACATATACACATGTGTGTGTGTATGTATAGGTATCATTTGACCAAATTTGTCAGAGGAGGAGACTATTACGATTCTTTATCACTTCTGATTTAGCTCCATGTAGCTTGTTATTTTGGAGAGAAGTTATTTTCCTATAAGTAAACTATAACCGTTCATTTCAAAACTTATTAAACCACCATTGTTTAAGTGCTATACTATAGATCCTTTTAAAAATACTATTCTTCCCCTTCAAGAGATAATAAAAGACCAATACCAGCATTTTTGATATACAAAACACACTTTTTTTTTTAATTTAGTGACATAGTCCGCTAAGTATCAATTTGTGAAACTCATTTCTCTAGCCATTTCATTTATTGTTACAGACACACAAGTTTGGACTCTTTTCTAACAGACAATTTAGTATGTGATAGAAATTAAAACAGATTAAAACATATGAAATGCAAGTTCCTGTAAATTGATATCTTTCTAGAAAGGAATACACCTAGTATAAAAAATAAAATGGTGTATCTCTTATCCTTCTGTTCTCTGAAACATATAAGATGTTGTGATGTAGTATTATGGCCAGTGTGGAACACAAGAGGCCCAGGGAAGATACATGACTTATGAAGATGAGACTGAGATGCCTGACATGCATTAATTATGCATTGTTTTTCTGCTGCTTGAACTATGCATATGGGAATTAATGGCATCTGATACTTGGAAGTATCAGCAGTTCTGGTTTTGTTGTTGCAAGTTTAGAATTAGTGATGCTATATAACCTCTGGGAAAAGAAATACAAATAAAAACCCCACTGATGTAAATAAACCTAAACCGACAATCATTCATCAAATTCATTCAATAAATACACCACTGAGTGGAGCTGCTGCATCCTAAACTGGTCCACTTATATCCTTTTTGGACTGTATTGATTTCCTACAGAAGTCTTTAGAACTCTGCACCAACATAAATGATCTGTTTTTGCAGATTTGCTTTTAAACTGCAGTCGGAAAGAATTATCTACCAGCAAATATAGGATTTCCTTTGAAGTTAAGATCCATATAACTGAATTATTTAAAAAACAAAACAAAAAGCAAGAACAAAAATCACAACTCCCCTGTGCTCTTTGGTGCTGCTTTTCTATATGGCCACTATATATATAAAAGGGGCGAGCCCTTTCTATGATAATGGGAATTAAAAAAAGAAAAAACAGAAAACATGCAATTATCTGCATTAACATATTACGTTTTACACACTGTTGTCAAGTGAATTATCTCCCTGCTATACAATTCTATGAGGCGAGTCAAAAGCTTATTGAAAAAGCCTGTTTTCTTTCAAGTTATATAGAATGTTTAGCGTACTATAAGACAGTAGTATTCACTGCCAAACCTTATATATTTTAAGGTAATGTAAAAATACTGACAGCCTTTTTTTTAATTACAGCCCTATGAGATACCATATGATGTTTTAGAATTTACATCTGTAAAGTAAACATGAAACCACAGAACATATGGAAGCTTCTCAGTGCACTGCATCTGTTACTCAGTTGATGCTTGATTGTTTTTTTCTTTTCTTCTCTAGGGGAGATTTAAAAAATCCAAAACTTTAAAGACAGTATTAGATATTGATATACTATTTTTCAGCTTGAAGACTTAATGCATTAATTTGGCATGATTTCTGTCATCTCTGCATCTCACGATTAGCCCTTACAATATCCATTCTCTATTTTCTTATCAAAAGCCTCTTTGTGCTGGCAACTAAACGAATAGCACATAATAGTGCTATTTAGTCTATTCAAACAATTCAATCCGGAAACAAAGAAGTCTGACTTTAAAGGGGTAAAAATGTGGGGTTTTTTTCTTTCTTTTTTCTTTTTTGCAGTCTTTTTTTTTTTTTTTTTTGTCTGAGGGCCACTGCACTCTCTAAAATCTTACTCCTCAAGAAAAACTTGACTACCATTCAAACCTCAAAAGACTCTTGAAGATCTAACAAAATAGGTTCATGACACTTCAAATATCATTACTGTTATGTTTGCTTCAATTTAGATTTAAAAATCTTTTTCAACTGTTTTTTGTGTATTTCATAATGCTTGTAATCCAAAGAGTAATAGAAGCAGGAGGAGAATGGGAAAGGATAGTTAATTAAAATAAGTGTGTATTGACAACTCTCTGGGGAATGATGTTTAACTTGGTGGCAATTTTAAGAGTTTCAAAACTTATTTTTATAGGTTTATTTCTCACTGAGAAGAGAAAAAAAAACTTTGAAACATCTTTGTGCCTAAGTAACTTTCACTGGAGTGTTTTTCTCAAAGCTCTCTTCCATGAAAGAGTCTTTGCTCCAGAACTTCCTGGGAAAATCCCCATCTTCTTGAAATATTTCGGCCCTTAAACACCAGGCATTTTTCAAATGAGATTGTCTTTTGTTGAAAGTACTCTAATGATGGCATGATCCTGTTAATCTGTTGTACTGTAGTGCTGCCATCTAGGTAGAAGCTTTTACCTAGAGGCAAATTCCTTCTTGTAGCTTCTCATAATTTGGCAGTGCAGAAGAAGCAGCTATGTTCCAGTGTCCAACATGGCCACCCACTCCCCCAACCTCGAAGGTGGCTGGGGTTGTCCTTTGGTCCTTGGCGTGCAGTTGTCTTTCAGGAGTAGGGTTAGAAGTTGCACTTACTACTTCCCTCTTATTTAAAGTGCTTTCCTTGAAGGAATGGATAGTCTCCAGGGTCTGAATTGTGCCAAGTGTGTGTTGATGTGTTGACTTCTCTTTGTTTGTGTATGTAAGGTTAGCAGTTAAACAATTTACTGTTCACTTCAAAGCTGTTGACCAGCTTGCAAAAGTTCCTCTGTGAACCTGGTCATCTATAATGAGTGGCTCCCCAGCTTGTTCCTGCGTTGTGCCGCTTCATGAAGTGCTTGCTGCTGCAGAAGGCTATAACGAGCAGGATCTGTCTGGAAGAAAATATAAAAGCAACACAAATAAAAAATGTAGCAAGAGGAAAATTTGGTCCTGGAAAGCTCCTAGGAAAGCTATTCAAGGTAAAATGCAGGTTAGGACTGTAGGTTTAAAACTTACAAACTTTCCAAGGAAACTTGCTCTGGTATTGCTCAGTTAGTGAAGAAAATGCAGAGATGCTGGCTTATGCAAGATGTAAACATTTCCCAAAAGGAAGATGAACGTTTCATAAATGTGGGATTTTCAAATTTAGGGATTTGGTGCTTACCTGTGCTGTAAAGCAACGAGTATTTAACACTGTGATTACTGGGAGCCTGCTGTCAAAGTGAAAGAGCTAATAAAAACCTCTGGGAGAAGGTAAAACACGGCTTCCATGTGGGTTCTAATTCCATGCGCTACTTCATCTCTTTTCCCTCACATTTTTTGCTATTCTTTTTGCAGGTGCTTGTTGCCAATTAACTGAGAGCAAACAATATACACTTTCCACCCATCTCTTCTCTGGGATGCACATGGGCTTTGTGGAATAGGATGGACCAGAAATGTTTCCAAAATACCAGTCAGATGGTTTTAGATTATAAAGGAGAGTCTATAGGTTTTACTTAACTTTGTTTTCTCCCACCAATCACTTTCACTTCCTTCACTTTTTTTCCTTTAAGGTGAATATGTGCTTAAGAAATGATTAGAAAGGATGATGGAGTTGCCAGGCTCTGTAGTGGAGAATCAGGGATACTGTCTCACTGTACTGGTGGGCCAGGTTCATTTTGCATGATGCTGTCTCAAAGAAGGAAGTGGGAGGGACTCGACTGGGCAGTAGCTGCCATGCGCAGTTAGCTTATGTGTATGCACAGGAAATGTCCATCTCTTCATGTTTGCAGTATACAGCCATCTGGGCACATTCTTGTGACAGCACATTGATTTGCTGTCTAAGAATCTTTAACCTGAGAACTGCTATGACATGTTGGGCATGGGATGTTCTACTGAAAGCGAGAAGATATCTTTTCTCAGTAATTTTATTCAATCTTTTAGGCATGGGGAAAGCACATTGTATCTCTGTCTTGATGTCCAATCCCAACCTCCCCAGATCTCTTCTGTGACGTTTGGAGGGTGGTCACAGTGCTAATAACGTTCTCACACCAATACTCCTGTGGAGGATATTCTGTGTAATATTGGATACATTACTGCTACTTCTGTACCACAGGGTCACTAATAATTCTCATCATTAGCACAGGGTGTTTAAGCCCTGCCTGGATGCTATGGGGAAGATCAGGCAATGCAGCTGGCCTTCCGCCTATATGTTTGTGTCAGAATAGCTGTGGGGCAGTGCAGCTACCTCCAGTAGGCAGGGACAGATTTTCTGAGGGTGTAGTGACAGTTCCTCTTCAAGTGACATTACTTGTGATCAAAGAAGAAAATGTTGTCCATCTGCAACCCCAGCAATATTTTTTTGGAACCAAGCTGATAATGTGCAGGCAGCGTTTGGTCATGTGGTCTTTGTCCTCCTTGGAGAGCACCAGTTTCTTTGTGGCTTTAACTGGCCCAGTTTCAATGGATTTGCTTGACAAAACTGGTGCAGCATAGCCATCAGCAAGCAAGCCCCAAGCCGTCAATTAGGATGTGCTTTGGGCAGCCTGGATCTCCCTCCAGGCTTTGATAAGGAAGTATCAAGAGACATTAAATTTCTTCAGCGCTTGCAGTTGTTAATGGCCAAATAAGGCATTCAGCAACTCTGCTTTTTCTGTGTTATTCGTAACCAGGGTACCCACCCCGTTCACCAGTGGACCCACGTTTTCCCTGATCTTCCTTTTGCTGTTGATATATTTGAAGAAGTTTTTCTTGTTATTTTTAACGTCCCTTGCCATATTGCGTTCCAGACCTACCTTAGCTTTCCTTGTCGCATCTCTGCTTTCCCTGACAACGTTCCTGTATTTCTCCCAGGGGGCCTGTCCTTTTATTTCACATTCTATATACCACCTTCTTCTGCTTGAGCATTGCCACAAGCTCCCGGCTCATCCACACAGGTCTCCTGCCCCCTCTGCCTGACTTCCTACACACAGGGATGCACTGTTGCTGGGCGTGGAGGAAGTGCTCCTTGAAAACTAACCAGCTCTCTTGGGCCCTCCTTCCTTCTAGAGCTCTAGCCCATGGGATTCTTCTGAGGAGGCCTCTGAAGAGGCTGAAGTTGGCCCTCCTGAAGTCCATTGTTGCAAGGCTACTTACAGCCCTGCTTCCTCCTCATTGGATCCTAAACTCCACCAACTCATGGTCACTGCAGCTGAGGCTACTCCCCAGCTTCACATCTCCTACAAGTCCCTCTCTGTTAGTTAGCATGAGGTCCAGTAGCCCACCTCTCCTCGTTGGCTTCTCCACAACCTGTGTCAAAAAGTTATCATCAACGCACTGCAGGTACTTCCAGGACTGTTTGTGCCTGGCTGTGTTGTCCTTCCAGTTGATGCGAGGGTGGTTGAAGCCCTCCATGAGAACCAGGGCCTGTGACCGTGAGGCAATATCCAGCTGCCTATAGAAGGCCTCATCAACTTCCTCATCCTGGTCAGGTGGCCTGTAGCAGACACCCACCACAGTGTCTTCCATATTAGCCTGCCCTTTAACCCTTACCCACAAGCTCTCAACTTGCTCATCATCCACCTCCAGGTTGAGCTCCATGCATTCCAGTTGCTCTCTCACATAAAGAGCAACTCCACCACCTCGCCTTCCCAGCCTGTCCTTCCTAAAGAGCACATAGCCTTCCATGACAGTGCTCCAGTTGTGTGAGCTATCCCACCACGTCTCTGTGATTCCAATGAGATCATGACGCTGGGACCGCACACAGATCTCCAGTTCGTCTTGCTTATTCCCCATGCTTCTCACATTGGCGTACAGGCATTTCAGGGAAGTAATCAAGCCTGCAGGTTTCCCAGGAGGAGTGAAAGAGGACCCTTTATAATCATATCCTATCCTCACTTCCCCACTACCATACTCCCCCTGGATGCCATCTGACTTTGGCTGTGTGGTACTGATTGCCCTGTCTGTGTGACACTCCCCTTCCCCCTTCTTGCCTAGTTTAAAGCCCTCCTAGAGTTATCATGAAAATAAAATGCCCTCCTAAGGCAAAGCCCTCCATAGTTGTCATGAAAATAAAATGCAAAAGGATATCTGACAGGAAATTTCTGAAATTTGATTTTCATTTGGTCTCTCAAGAAGTGAAATGGGTTTTGGAAGTGAAACAAGTTTTGGTGTTCAGTGATTCCCCCTGTAGAGAGGGGTTTTCTCCTCTGTGTTCAGTGGAATTTCCTGTATTTCAGTTTGTCTGTGGTCTCTTGTCCTGGGCACCATGCTCATAGATGCTCTGCTATTTTGACCATCTTTGTGGCCCTTTACTGGACTTGCTCCACAATATCTGCGTCAATCAAGGGCAGCCATTCTTTTGCAGATAGTAGCGTACATGGGCAAGCAATGCTTTGTGTAGGTGTATTGGCATCCATTGGCATTCCTTTCCCTTTATCCTCAGAATTCCTCTCCTGTAGACCTTGCATAATTTTATAGTGATGTTCCAGCAAGGTGGCTACAGCAGGCATGACTCTTATCTAACAATCTGATTTATTTGGGATTAAAAAAAAAAGTAGTTCATAGAGAAAAGAATCTAAATTACTTTTTCTATTTTGTAAAAGGTATTTCTGAAGCTACTGCAAGAGTCGGAGAAGATGCCCTGCATTCCACAGACAGCGCACCTGAACGAAGCAAATGGTGTTGACTCAGCCTGTAAGTAGAAAATTACATACCTTTTAAAAGCAGTCAGATATGTGCATTTCCACCTGTGTGCAAATTAAAAAAAAAAATCACAATCTGCTGCTCCACATCAATCACCTATCCACAGTAGTAGATGACTCTGGTTCTATCCAGTGGCATGTTAAGCGAGCTTTTCTTAGAAATTTATTTATCTTTTAAAATGATGTTGTTCATGCTTTCTCGTTTCCTGTCTAACATGCTTAGGTGGCGCTCCACATTACCATTGCTTAAGTCACTTCCCTGGTTGCCTTAAGCACTCTTCCTGGAAGTCACTGATATGATGCTTTACAATGTTTCTTTCTGTTTGATTTATACCTAGATGATAAAATTCTTGAGTTAGATGTCAAACATCCTGTTTTATGTGCACTGCTTTTTGTTCTGCTTTTACAGAGCATTGTATGGCACAGTGAGGTCCTGGTTTGTGAATGAGGCCTTTCATTGTTTCCAAAATGGAAATAATAATTTTGAACTGAGCTTTTATTGTTTGTTATGAGAAATTCAATTGGATCTGCCACTAACGTGTAATTAGTTCCAAGGAGAATTGTGGCCTGTGTGAGTCCATTTTCACAAAGTGAAAACTCTATTGGATGACACTGTAATACGATCTTACTGGTGGCCTATTTCAGTCTCTACTAAAGTAGTAAAGATTTAGGAATCCAGAGAGCCCTCACCTCAGTAAACAAATAAAATATCCACTCTCTGTGATTGCAGAGAACAAGGCTTCGATTCAAAATACGTTTTTAGTATCCCTTTATTTTATAACAATCAGGTATTTCTTCAAAGATTGGATGGGATATTTGAACTTGTTTCAGATCAAAGCAGTCTGTCTTCTCCATGTTACATTTTCATTAAGGAATAAGACTTACAGTTTCTAAAGTAATGAAAAAAGAGTGTAATGTACCTAGTGATTTGGTGGCTATTACTATCCGCATTCCAAAGCATGTATCTGAGTATTTGAGTTGTTATGTTGGTACAGAAGCCAGTAATAAGAGACTCTTTCTTTTTCAAGTCTGATAAATTACAGCAAGAAAACATGATGATAATGCCATTTCTTTAGCGATGAGAGTGATAGAAAATTTTCATTCAGTGCAGATGACTGTCATTCATCATTACGGGCAGTTGTGAAGTGTAGGCATAAGGATTTTGGGAACTGGTCATGAAAGGTATCCATCATTGTCAAAGTTAACCAGAATATTCCATGGGCAATAACTTGACCTGTATAATTTTGTCTTTGAAAGCAGATTCAAAGGCAGGCAAACTTTCCTTTGTCAAAGTAGTTAAGTAATTTTTCTTTCAGTGTCCCCCTTACCTAGAGCAAACAGCTAGGTTATTGAGAAGATCATAGGATGCTGCTATATGGTTTGTAAAATAATTTGGATTAGAGAGCTGCTTTGACAAAGCATGGATCTGAGCAAAAGCATTGGTTATTCTTTACTGGAACCAAAGCCCTGAGGCAACATCAGAGCATTGTCTCTTAGTTTCCCAGACCAGAGCTGTACTGGAGCGGTATTCAGGTTCCCTCTCAAATCAGAGATGGTCAAATAATTCTGAGATTACTTTACATAACCCAGTATAAAACACAACAAGAAAATATAAAGTTCTGACTTCAGTGAGGTACTCTCCTGTTTTACCGAGCTGCCTGTTTTTGTTCATCATTCTAAATCATGTAAGTGCATCTATTACAGTGTTCCTCATTAGATGTAAATGGTAGAGGGAAGTAGCAGTTCCTTAATCTCATTTTTTTAAACAATTTTAATATTGATAACTTTGTCTATAGGTAAAAACAGTTCGTGTAATTTCTGTTAATTTTTAGTGTTTTAAGTTTCCTTTACAGAAAGCTTGCTCGCATTTTTTGATCTTACACCAAGTAAAAAATTTAATACCTTTTCTTTTGATGGGAACAGCTAAGGTTTTCTTTTGAAAAATGCATACATATGCTGACATAATGCATGCATACGCTATAACAGACACACATTATAAAGTACTAGGGCACACAAGTAGTTGTTGTTATTTTATAGAGGCATGTAGTCTATGCAGAGAAAAAGAGATTAAACAGAGCTTTCCAGCATCCGACAAGATCACTGGGGCCAAACAGCCTTGAGAATATGGAGAAGTCAACTTTATAGAGGGCAATAATAATTGCCATAATGTACAGCAGGCAGGATATATGCAAAAACAACCAGGAGAGCTGAGAGCAAGCCTGAGGGATAAATAGGTAACCATGGAAAAATAACAAAACATTTTCAAAATAAGTGAAAAGCAGGCAGTAGGCTAGAGAGTGGGTTTATTAGACCATAAGGGACCAATACGTTGTTTTGAAATGAAATAACAAAATGAAACAACTTTCTAGAATTCTACATCTTAGAATATTTGGAATATATCAACTTTGGATGTAATATCTTCTGAAAGTAGAGTACAGTTGATGCTGGTATAGTGCAAAGAATTTTAGTGAAATTAAGCTAAAATTTAAATAAAATAACATGTTACGGCAGTGTGGTTTAAATGCTATATAGAGACTGAGACTGTGATGATAATATATTTAAAAAGAAAAGTAGTTATTAGTGAATCTGTTATGAATAGTTATAAGAATGCTATTAAAGCATCTTTCTGCTTCTTGGGTAAGTAAGTCAACAACTATGATTTTTGGAGATATATCTCCTTGGAAGCAAGCTGATTCATAACAGAAATTTTTAAGGTTGATTAAACTTTTCTCTGAGGCAGCTGGTATTAGCCATTTGGTAGGATGTTGGGCAAAACATTACATTTCTCCTATTACAATTTGAAAGAAACACTATATAGTACTTATAATGCATATCAGGAAGGTAATTTGACTAAGAACATGCTAGCTGACACATTGTAAAAAACAGTCTCAGTAGAAAAACATTATCAAAGCAATGACTTTTTAGTGAGCTTTCACTGGGTTTGGAATTTTGCCTGATACTATTAGGTATTTTCATCAGTGATATTGAAGTAAATATGAACTTGCTCATAAAAAAAAACTTGACTATTGCAAGGCATTGGCAGAATGGTAATGAATGATGACTCAGAACAGTCCTAAAGTGTTCACTTGGATCACTTAGATCACTTGAAAAGCTGAATCAAATCTAAATAAAATGTATTTTGATTCAGCCAAATGCTGGGTAAATATGCAGAATGGGGAGTGATAGCAGTGACTTTGAAAATTGCCTACTAATCACGGTGCAAAAGCATTTTAAGACAGCATGCGTAAGAAGATTAATGTGTCACTTTAATGTACAAAAGGACATAGGCAGGTCATTTTAGCTCTATATTGATGAGACTTGTGTTACAATACATGTACAGTTTTTGTTTCAGTTTTTTTTTTTTTTTTTAAGAACACTTCA